CCTATCGGTGAAACCGATTTGCCTAGGGTTTGTGTCAGTGGCTATGGCATCTGAACTCGGTGGCGCCGGATAGAAAGAATCGGTGGGGCTGAGTTTGACTTTTGATTTAGGTCATATGTGGATGTGGGAAGGTAGTTGAGGGTTTTGGAGCATATCACTAAGCACTATGAAGCAAGAACCTCATCAAGCAACACCTCATCCCCTCTTGATAGTATTGGCTTTTCCTATAGACTCAATGTGATCTTGGATCACTAAAATAGAAAATGTAGAGTCTTGATCTTGAAGCTTGAGCTAATCCTTTGTCCTTAGCATCTTGAAGGGGTTCCACATCCTTTAGTCCATGCCACTTAATTTGTTGAACTTGTCTGAAACATACTAGGTAAAAGTATTAGTCCAACAAGAGATACGTTGTCATCAATTATCAAAATCACCCAGGGAGCACTTGTGCTTTCAGTTCCGAGGCCATATCTGCATATGCTAGGCTCGTCAAGTTTAACCCGAGTATTCTGTGTGTGCAAAAATTTCTTACACCCGTTGTAGATGAACATTGAGCTTATCACCCCCGATCATCACGTGGTGTCTCGGCATGAAGAACTTTGGCAACGATGCATAATCAGGGAGAACACTTTTACCTTGAAATTTAGTGAGAGATCATCTTATAATGCTACCGTCAAACAAAGCAAAATAAGATGCATAAAGGATAAACATCACATGCAATCAATATAAGTGATATGATATGGCCATCATCATCTTGTGCCTTTGATCTCCATCTCCAAAGCACCGCCATGATCACCATCGTCACCGGCACGACACCTTGATCTCCATCGTAGCATCGTTGTTGTCTCGCCAACTATTGCTTCTACGACTATCGCTACCGCTTAGTGATAAAGTAAAGCAATTACAGGGCGATTGCATTGCATACAATAAAGCGACAACCATATGGCTCCTGCCAGTTGCCGATAACTCCGTTACAAAACATGATCATCTCATACAATAAATATAGCATCATGTCTTGACCATATCACATCACAACATGCCCTGCAAAAACAAGTTAGACATCCTCTACTTTGTTGTTGCTAGTTTTATGTGGCTGCTACGGGCTGAGCAAGAACCGTTCTTACCTACGCATCAAAACCACAATGATAGTTCGTCAAGTTAGTGTCATTTTAACCTTCTCAAGGACCGGGCGTAGCCACACTCGATTCAACTAAAGTTGGAGAAACTGACGCCCGCCAGCCACCTGTGTGCAAAGCACGTCGGTAGAACCAGTCTCGCGTAAGCGTATGTGTAATGTCGGTCCGGTCCGCTTCATCCAACAATACCGCTGAACCAAAGTATGACATGATGGTAAGCAGTATGACTTGTATCGCCCACAACTCACTTGTGTTCTACTCGTGCATATAACATCTACGCATAAACCTGGCTCGGATGCCACTGTTGGGGAACATAGTAATTTCAAAAAAATTCCTACGCACACGCAAGATCATGGTGATGCATAGCAATGAGAGGGGAGAGTGTCATCCACGTACCCTCGTAGACCGTTAAGAGGAAGTGTTATGACAACGTGGTTGACGTAGTCGTACGTCTTCACGATCGACCGATCCTTAGTACCGAACGTACAGCACCTCCGTGTTCAGCACACGTTCAGCTCGGTGACGTCCCGCGAACTCATGATCTAGTAGAGCTCGAAGGAGAGTTTCGTCAGCATGACGGCGTGGTGATGATGTTGGTGAAGCTACCGTCGCAGGGCTTCGCCTAAGCACCGCTACAGTATGACCGAGGTGGATTATGATGGAGGGGGCACTGCGCACGGCCGAGAGAGATCAATGATCAACTTGTGTGTCTTTGGGGTGCCCCCTGCCCCTGTATATAAAGGAGCTAGGGGGGAGGCGGCCGGCCAGGAGGAGGGCGCGCCAAGGGGGGAGTCCTACTCCCACCTAGAGTAGGACTCCTCCTTTCCTAGTAGGAGTAGGAGAAGGGGAAAGGGAAGGAGAGAGGAGGAAGGAAAGGGGGCGCCCCCCCTCCTTGTCCAATTCGGACTAGAGGGGGAGGGGGCGCGCGGCCTGCCCTGGCCGCCCCTCCTCTTCTCCACTAAGGCCCAATAGGCCCATTACATCCCCCGGGGGGTTCCGGTAATCCCTCGGTACTCCGGTATATGTCCGAAACCTCCCGAAACACTTCTAGTGTCCGAACATAGTCGTCCAATATATCGATCTTTACGTCTCGACCATTTCGAGACTCCTCATCATGTCCGTGATCATATCCAAGACTCCGAACTACCTTCGATACATCAAAACACAAAAACTCATAATACCGATCGTCACAGAACTTTAAGCGTGCGGACCCTACGGGTTCGAGAACTATGTAGACATGACCGAGACACGTTTCCGGTCAATAACCAATAGCGGAACCTGGATGCTCATATTGGTTCCTACATATTCTACGAAGATCTTTATCGGTCAAACCGCATAACAACATACGTTGTTCCTTTTGTCATCGGTATGTTACTTGCCCGAGATTCGATCGTCGGTATCTCAATACCTTGCTCAATCTCGTTACCGGCAAGTCTCTTTACTCATTTCATAGTGCATCATCACGTAACTAACTTATTAGTCACATTGCTTGCAAGGCTTATAGTGATGTGCATTACCGAGAGGGCCCAGAGATACCTCTCCGACAATCGGAGTGACAAATCCTATTCTTGATCTATGCCAACTCAACAAGTACCATCGGAGACACCTGTAGAGCACCTTTATAATCATCTAGTTACGTTGTGACGTTTGGTAGCACACAAAGTGTTCCTCCGGTAATCAGGAGTTGCATAATCTCATAATCATAGGAACATGTATAAGTCATGAAGAAAGCAATAGCAGTAAACTAAAACAATGAAGTGCTAAGCTAACAAAATGTGTCAAGTCAATCACATCATTCTACTAATGATGTGATCCCGTTAATCAAATGACAACTCATGTCTATGGTTAGGAAACTCAATCATCTTTGATCAACGAGCTAGTCAAGTACAGGCATACTAGTGACACTATGTTTGTCTATGTATTCACACATGTATTATGTTTCCCGTTAATACAATTCTAGCATGAATAATAAACATTTATCATGATATGAGAAAATAAATAATAACTTTATTATTGCCTCTAGGGTATATTTCCTTCAGGTTATTTATGCCAATAGATAATTAGAAGCATGGATTTTTTTTCATTAGTTAGATAATTAATTAATCTGGTTGTCAGTGAATTAGGCATGCAGAGAATTATGTAGGCTGTTAAATATTTGTATACCAATAAATTAGTAAACAAGCAGCTAATCACGCCGAATCGTTTTGAAAAGGCGTTCGAGGGCAATTACGATCAACAGGTTCTCAGGACATGGCCAAGCTCCGCTTGCCAACATGGACAATGGCACATTTCAGTGAAATATGCGAAATTGGGGTTTAAAATATTTTTAACCCCGAAATTTTGATGTAGATTCTACTGATTTCAAAGTAAATACTCCCTCCGTCCGGAAATACTTGTCGTAGAAATGGATACAAATAGATGTATCTAGAACTAAAATACATCTAGATACATTCATTTCTCGGATAAGTATTTCTGGAGGGAGGGAGTATAAATTATGTTAGAATTTATTAAAATTAAGTGATATTTGAAATCTCAAAATCCAAACAATTTCCAAAATATGCAAAATTTCCAAAAATTTACATATTTCAGTGAGGTCTGAAATTATTTTCTTTCCAAAATTAAAAACCTTGACAGCCACCATGCGCTCGCGACATGGGTGACCTAGCGTTCACCAAGATGGATGATGACTATGCTCTGCAGGATGTCCACACGCTAACGGTTGCCGAAACATTCGCGGGTGAGGACAACACAACACAACATTGACCAGTTGGTTCATGCTATAGTAGAAAGAAAGATTGTTCCAAGAATAAGAAGGAAAAAAGAACTAAAGCCACTAGGTGGTCGATGGTGTTGGAGAAAAAAAGAGTGTTTCAAAAACTAAGACGAAAATAAAAATAAAAAAGGGTATTCTAAAAATTACTCCCTCCATCCCAAAATAAGTGTCCCAGCCTTATTTTGGAATGGAGGGAGTAGGAACGAGAACTAGTTGGCAAGGAACGAGAAAGAAGATGATGTGTTGATGACAAACACACTAATGTTAACGTGGTGTTGGTTGGCGCCAATGAAACATCTTTGCAAAGAGGCTAAGAGTAGAAGATGTAGGGAAGGAGGAGGAAGAGAAGAACGACAATTATCCCTTCTAGCATATGTGGGATGGAGGTGGAGCTTATTGGTGACTAGGAATACATTCACATTGCCACTCGCGTCCAACGTCAGTGTGCATTTACCAGGTTGAATGAACCTTTGAAAATGATCTCTATAATTATTTGTTGTTTTTTGTCAATGGTATAACTTAGTTTAACCCACTCTACTAAACATGAAAATTTTCATCCCTATAATGCACGGCGAAAATGAGGTGGACATCATTTGATTTTGAAGGAGGTGACTCCAGCAAGAAATGTCCCTCTATGGCGGAAACCAAGCGGGAGGGGAGGTTCCGATAGGAAAAGGGAAGATGCATCACTGGATGGGTTTTTTGTGTTGGACGGATGTTATAGAGATAACATGGTGGATAGCATGACAACAGTTAAATTTTTAAGAGGTTGCAGTTGCAGCTCATTTTGCTGCGAAAACCAACTCAATGGTCCATCTCAAAAGAGAAGGAAAAAAAACATAAGGGGTAACACGTAGATCACTCTATACAGAGGTGTTAAACGATATTGGTTGAGGTGCTGCGATCTTCTGCATGCCCTTTTGGCATTGATCTTATTGATCAACAGTACACTGAAATGGTACCTAAATCAAGCTTCGGTTTCCACTGATCTAGATTCCTACTTGATGCAACCTACGATGCAGAAATACAACAACCAAACAAACACAAACTATTTAACGAGCGTAAAAATGACAAGCATCAAACTTCGAGGCAGATCAATCATTTTTATCTCTGATGAAGCTTCTAGGTAGTCTGCTTATCACATTTTCGTCGACGATCTTGTAATGCCTTGAGATATTCCGGTGGACCATCCCAGCATACCTGTCCACGTGCTCTTGGTGTCTATGGTAAAGTACAGGTACTGTCACCAAAGCAATGGTTCCTGTCATCCATACACTGTAAAATTAGTAATGGAATCTCCACAAAGGACCAACAGATACATGATTATGCATGCCCGGTACAACATGCCCCTACATTTCTCTGCCTGTGTGGACTCAAAATGAGATGTTTACACCATAACATACCTATATAAGCAAGAGTTACAGAAGAGTAGAAATTGCCAATAACAGATAGCAACCACAGGACTGACACAACCTGTGAAGAATTTTCATTGGTCACTAATCATAATGATCTCATGTAACAACCAAAGAGAAACAATGGCATAATAGCTAACCTGGAAAAAGAGCCGGAAGTCTTTGCCAAGAGTAATGTCATGTGCAATCATTAGCATGTTGTTCACTTTAACACGGAATGAAGCCGCAGCATTATTAACCATCTCCTCTGACAGAACTAACTCAGGCAGTTGCCTAGGTTGCCTACAATAATTAACCGATAACAAATACATTGATAAACTTCTGTTGAAATATGTAAGAACACAAACTCATGGATAAGGTTCCTTACTTATTTAGCAACCCAGATATTTTGACCCATATGAGCTGTACAACTATCAAAATGAGCAGTACATCACAGCAGATAGTCAAGAACGATAGTTCGGACTTCTCGAACAACCACCATGCAATAGTAGCACCAAATATAACACCAACAGTAGCACGTTTACACTTCCATAAGATGATATCAGCAGCTGAAAGATAGGAAAAACATCTTAAATCAATGAGCAAGAGATACATAAGGCCAACTGTACGTGGAGGCATAAAAAGGGAAAAATCATACCGCTGGATATTACTTCAACCCCTTACCAGTGCAAAAGAGAAATATATAAAGGACAGTACTCTTGAAGTTAAGCTAGTCAATTAAGTGTACCAGAGATTCAGATTACAAACTATCAATTAAGTGTATCAGAAATTCAGATAATAAACATAAGAAACAGTCATCTGAGATATGTGTAGCAATTATTTAGCTACTGCTTTGCAGTATGACAGGTTAGTACTCCTAATGACTGGTCTCTCATTTGAGTATTGATACTAACACAACACGTTGCAGAAAAGAATTTAAAATAATAATAGTAATAATAATAATACCTAAGGCATAACTTCAGTATGTACAGGTGGCCAACATGCCATGTTTGCTTTGAGTTTTGAATCACATGTATTTCAATGGTGATTGAGTTGATAAGCATCAGCTGGAATTCAGAGCAAAACTTAATGGCATGATCTCAATTACTACCTGTGTACACTCACATCCTAGCACGCGCTTTCTGAAACCACAGTACACAATCTGAACTACAGTCTACAGACCTACACCCAGCCTTGGCCACACTCACGCACGCTTCTTCTACTTACCCTACGAAATGAAAGCCAAAAGGTCAACCACCTTTACTCAACCCTGCCATTACTCCCGCAAATACACATGATCCAATCGAGAGAGACCATCGGAAAGCCCAGTGACAACCTGGCCATCCATCCGCCTCACAACATCCAATTCGCGCTTGCAATCACACAGCTGTAGTGTAAGAGCGATTTACCCCGAACTCAGCAGGAAACAGGAGGAGATAACTGGGGGTAGAAGAGTAGTGGTTACCTTTGCCGCCGCCAACGATCTGGTGCACTGAGAGTCGATGACCGCCGCCCGCGGAGCTGCATGGGTCGGCGGACCCCTCGATCCCGGCGTTCGCGGGCTCCGCCCCGCTGGCGCTGGTCTCCATGGCGAGCCCTTGCTTCGTGGCGGGATCGGAGAGGAGGCGAGGCGCTTTGGGGAAAGAAAATAGTCCGGAGACGGGGGAGAAGGAAAGGGGGAGGTAGTTTCTTCTTTTACTTTTTGATTGATGACAGGTGGGGCCGCCACTTCATTTTTCGACGGGGCGGCGGCGGTAGCGCCAGTTGTCCGATGGTTTTCTCTTAGCATTTCCAAGGCGGGTCCATAAATCTTCCGTGACCATCCAGATCTCGAAAGCCATCCAACATCGACATGTATGTGTTCACGAACAGTTTGAACGCGATTTCTTCCGTCAATTGAAAATAAAAGTGAGAAAGCTTTGCGGAAGTCCGGACCACTCCCAAGGCTGCTTCTGATGACTCTGGCCCACCAAAAACCCATTACCCATCCCTCTCGCGCTTTCCTTTCGATGCACACGCCACATGCATGCCGGTCCAGAGCACGCGGAGGCCGTTGATGCCGCGATATGACCGGAGGGAGGGAGGGCGGCGTTGACCGACGCGACCCCTCGGCAGCCGCTGTTTCAATGTGGACACAGGTTTTCGAGAAACCAACTCCGGCCGTTACGCCGCATTGAAGCGGTTGACCGGCTCTTCAGATGGCCTGGCCGCGGCTATTTTAAGTCGTGCTCCGGTGCCGTCCACGTCACATCCTCCTCCTCCCCTCCCAGCCCATCTCCCTCCACATCTCCGGCTGCGATGGGCAAGTCCTGGGCGTCGGCGACGGCAGGCGGTTCCGGGGATCTTCATATCCTCCGGCAACGAGGAGGACCAGTAGCCGTCGCCGCAGTCCGTGCCGATGGTGCCAGGCAAGGTCTACGCCAGCACGGACGTGGAGTTCGAGGAACAGATGGAGCTGATGCTCCACCATCCACACCAACGGCCCGGCTTCGCCATCGGGTGTGACGCCCTCGATTTGACCATACACTAATCATACACGCAAATATGTATAATCAAGATCAATGACTCACGGAAAGATATCACAACACAACTCTAGACACAAAGTAAAATAATACAAGCTTTATATTACAAGTCAGGGGCCTCGAAGGCTCGAATACAAATGCGCGAAGGCACAAGAGTCAGCGGAAGCAATAATATCTGAGTACAGACATAAGTTAATCAAGTTTGCCTTAAAAAGGCTAGCACAAAAGTAGCAACGATAAAGAAGGCAAGGGCTCCTGCCTGAGACCTCCTAACTACTCCTCGAAGCCGAACTCGGCGTAGAAACATCCTCGGAATCCTCTGGCTCCTGGACTCCATCATCTGTTTGCGACATCTGAGAAAAAATGAAAAAGGAGGAAAAGAGGGAGCAAAGCAACCGTGAGTACTCATCCAAAGTACTCGCAAGCAAGGATCTACACTACATATGCATTGGTATCGATGAAATGGATAGTATCTGTGGTCTGGACTGTAGAATGCCAGAATAAGAGAGGGATAGCTAGTCCTATCGAAGACTACGCTTCTGGCAGTCTCCATCTTGAAGCATTTAGAAGAGAGTAGATGGTAAGTTCACCAAGTAGCATCGTATAGCATAATCCTACCCGACGATACTCTCCTTGCCGCTCTGTGAGAGAGCGATCACCGGCTTGTATCTGACACTTGGAAGGGTGTGTTTTATTAATTATCCGGTTCTAGTTTTCATAAGGTCGAGGTACAACTCCGGGTTGTCTTTTTACCGAGGGACACGGCTATTGGAATAGATAAACTTCGCTGCAGGGGTGCACCACATTACCCAACACGCTCGATCCTTCTGGCTGGACACACTTTCCTAGGTCATGCCCGACCTCGAAAGATCAACACGTCGTAGCCGCACCTAGGCCTAACAGAGAGGTCAGCATGCCGCTCTAGATCCTATGCGCGTAGGGGTTTGGGCCCATCGCCCGTTGCACACCTACACATTGCGTACGCAGCCGTTGAGCAGACCTAGTAACCTCCATTACAAAGGAAGTTGCATTACGCAGTCCAACCCGGCGCGCGCCGCTCAGTCGCCGACGTCTAGGAGGCTTCGGCTGATACCATGACGTCGAGTGCCCATAACTGTTCCCGCGTAGTTGGTTAGTGCGTATAGGCCAATGGCCAGACTCAGATCAAATACCAAGATCTTGTTAACCATGTTATTTTGAAGTAACCGCGGATGCTGACCAGGACCAGGCCCACCTCTCTCCTAGGCGGTCTCAACCTGCTCTGTCGCTCCGCCACAAAGATCCACATAGACACTACTGCAGGATACTGCTAACGCGACACTACGATCAGAGACCCTTTGTCGAAACTGTGTGCGATGCAATAATCACTGGTACGCGTTGGTCCTAAACAAATGGCTTTTAACCCCTTTCCGCGACGGCATTCGGAACCGTCGCCAAGTGAGTGTGGGTGATAGGGAGGGTCCTTCCCACACGACCCAGAAACCGTTGGGGATATGCCCTCCTGGCACACACGCTCGGCAAAATGAGGTTGTGTGCGACCGACGAGCACTCAAATACAGAAATACGTACAGTAGTGCTAAAAATACAATTATACATGCGAAATCATTTTCGATCGTAAGTACATCCCACACAGTCAGTCACCACTAAACGTTTCCGATCGTATATACATCCCACACAGTCACTACAAGGAAAACGATTGCGCAAGGTGGCGTAACGCAAACAGTTTTGAAGAGAATGTTGTGTGTGATTGTTCATTGATCCAACACGATTTATTCCTAGAAACTATGTGCGTTGCCTGAGGTCACCACCCATGGTGGTTTCTCATTAACCGTTTGCAATAGGAAAACCCAATTAGCAAGCTAATTGGCCAATTAGCAGACTAATTGCCCTATTATTAATAATCCATTTACTAATCTAATTGACATTCATATTAAGCACATAATATATTCCATTTCCATATTAAGGAAGCAGGATTTCATAATTGAAATACATCGGAGTACAATGATACGTCTCCAACGTATCTACTTTTCTAAACACTTTTGCCCTTGTTTTGGACTCTAACTCGCATGATTTGAATGGAACTAACCCGGACTGACGCTGTTTTCAGTAGAATTGCCATGGTGTTATTTTTGTGCAGAAATAAAAGTTCTCGGAATGACCTGAAAATCAACAGAGAATATTTTTGGAATATATAAAAAATACAGGTGAAATAATAAAGGCTAGGGGGCCCACAGCCTGTCCACGAGGGTGGGGGGCGCGCCTACCACCTGGGCACACCCCCTGCCTCATGAGCCCTCTGGTGCTCCATCGACCTCAACTCCAACTCTATATATTCACGTTCGGGGAGAAAAAAATCAGAGAGAAGGATTCATCGCGTTTTACGATACGGAGCCGCCATCAAGCCCTAATCTCTCTAGGGAGGGCTGATCTGGAGTCCGTTCGGGGCTCCGGAGAGGGGAATCCATCACCATCGTCATCATCAACCTTCCTCCATCACCAATTTCATGATGCTCACCGCCGTGCGTGAGTAATTTCATCGTAGGCTTGCTGGACGGTGATGGGTTGGATGAGATTTATCATGTAATCGAGTTAGTTTTGTTAGGGTTTGATCCTAGTATCCATTATGTTCTGAGATTGATGTTGCTATGACTTTGCTATGCTTAATGCTTGTCACTAGGGCCCGAGTGCCATGATTTCAGATCTGAACCTATTGTGTTTTCATGAATATATGTGAGTTCTTGATCCTATCTTGCAAGTCTATAGTCACCTATTATGTGTTATGATCCGTTAACCCCGAAGTGACAATAATCGGGATACTTACCGGTGATGACCGTAGTTTGAGGAGTTCACGTATTCACTAAGTGTCAATGCTTTAGTCCGGTACTCTATTAAAAGGAGGCCTTAATATCTCTTAGTTTCCAATAGGACTCCGCTGCCATGAGAGGGTAGGACAAAAGATGTCATGCAAGTTCTTTTCCATAAGCACGTATGACTATATTCGGAATACATGCCTACATTACATTGATGAAGTGGAGCTAGTTCTGTGTCACCCTATGTTATAACTGTTGCATGAGGAATCGCATCCGACATAATTATCTATCACTAATCCAATGTCTACGAGCTTTTCACATATTGATCTCTGCTTAGTTACTTTTCCGTTGCCACTGTTACGATCACTACAAAACTGCTACCGTTACTTTTGCCACCGTTACCGCTACTATCATATTACTTTTCTACTAAATACTTTGTTGTAGATATTAAGTTTTCCAGATGTGGTTGAATTGACAACTCAGCTGCTAATACTTGAGAATATTTTTTGGCTCCCTTGTGTCGAATCAATAAATTTGGGTTGAATACTCTACCCTTGAAAACTGTTGCGATCCCCTATACTTGTGGGTTATCAAGACTATTTTCTGGAGCCGTTGCCGGGGAGCATAGCTTTATTCTTTGAGTCACTTGGGATTTATATCTGTTGATCACTATGAAGAACTTGAAAGATAAAAGAACCAAGAATTTTCCCTCAACTACGAGGGGAGGTAAGGAACTGCCATCTAGCTCTGCACTTCTGCTTTGCATGATACTTATAATGAAACTACTTCTATGCTTGATAATACTGTGCCACTAGGTGAATTTCTTGATGAACAACTTGCTAGGGTTAGAGAGAATGAAATGATTGAAACTGATAATATCGATGAAAGTGATGATGAAGATTCTCCCCCTATATATGAATTGCCTGTTGTGCCTGAGGGCTATGTTATGGATGAAGAAACTGCTAGAGACTTCTTAGCTTGCAATGATAGATATGATCTTAAGAAATTATTAGCTAAGCTGAAAGAAAAATCCTTGAATGCTAGAATGAAATATGACCCTGCTTTTGCTACTTCACCTATCTGTATTTCCGATAAGGATTATGATTTCTCTGTCGATCCTGAGTTAATTACTTTGATTGAATCCGATCCTTTTTATGGCTATGAATCTGAAACTGTTGTGGCACATCTTACTAAATTGAATGATATAGCCACCATGTTCACTAATGATGAGAAAACTCGCTATTACTTTATCCTTAA